ATATTATCTTACAGCTGCATTTAAGTTTATATACCAACAAACAGGATAATTCACCCTGTTAATTTGTTTAATTTAATTCATTTTAAAGTTAAGTTGGTTCTCAAAAGTGACTTGAGCATGCTTTTTTAATTTGATGATAAATAAATTCAAGTTCGCAACTCAGAGTTAGGTAACTGGTCGAAACTACTTTTAATTACTGCCTTGGGACCCCTTTTTGGGGGGGTGAGGGCAAGGAAGTGACCTTGGGCCTGGGCCCCCGAGGATAGTACTATATCTGAGCAGCAGAGGAGGGGTGTGAAGGAAAGGTTGGGACACAGGGGTGGGCCTGGACAAGAGACCATTTATCTTGGCATCCAAGTGGGTGGTGGGGCATCTTCCTTTCATGGGGGATGGGGAGGGAGAGTAATGGAAACCAAGGGTCTTAACAGTGGGATGGGGCATTGTGGGAAGTCAACTTAATCCATTCTGGTGGGTCCTGAGAATGCATTATAGTTTTAACTAGTTTCCTGATAGTTTGACAGTGAAGAAACTTCCTTTTATGAGTTCATAACTTGTGGCAGAAAGTAATCTTACCTGCTGTAAAGAAAAACAAAACAAGACAGCAAATATAAACAGTGACGGATCCAGGGGATTCCCGCCCCCCTCCCCCCTTTTTTAGGCTAAGCTGAGACTCGAATGGCCGAGAAAATTTATTTGAGACCGAGGATCCCCTGCCAGTTCCCCACCTAAAATCATGGTTTGGATGAGTGGGCAGAGCTAGAGTGAGTGGGCGGCAGGTGCTTCCTGTATTTCAAGGTCTCGATCCGCCACTGATATAAACACTCAAACAATATTTTCTTAGAATGATTCAAAATTAATGAGCTTCATCTACACCCATAATTTGACAGATATATCGCTTTGTTGATATATAACCTGATGTGTAACGCAACCAAGAGTTTGTAAGAAAAAAACAAAATGGCAGGTAAAAGGTAAGTGACCCCGACTGATTTTATATGTTTTTGACATATTTTTTATCCTAAAGACTGATTTCATCAGAAGAAAAATCCTTGCAAGGCAAAAAAAAATGCTTGCACTGACAAAAAAATCTTTCGTGGGGTACAATGCAGGCAAAAAAATCCAGCTTACGCCGTTGTATGTCAGGAAATAAATACTGTCACCAGAGGTTTGGGAAAAAAAATTCTTACCCAAACCATATCACCCACTCTGCTCCATCATCTAGTATGTTGTGACTTTTTTTAAAAAAATTCCGCTTTTATCAATAAGTGAGGTAAATCTCTCTTGGTCTCTCACAATTACATGAAAAACAGAAAAAAGAGTTAAACACCACATTCTGTTCAGCCCCATCTCAGAAACAATTATCTGTGTTTCATCTGAAAAGTATTTCCCACCCACCACAAACAGTACACACACAGTCTGAAGTTTGAAGTTTATTAATTCATTAATACATAGTTTGAAAACTGAATTGGGAATTTACATTACAAAAATTAAATTATAGATCTAAACATTAACTAATCTATCTTAATTATAAAAAGGAATAAAAAAGCTAACAAGAGATGAGATGTTAAAAAAAGTTATCGAAATACAAGCTGCGAAATTCGATAACTCTAACCTAAAAGTTAGTTGCTTTAAGACATGAAAAGATAATAAAGCATGTTGAAAGGGCACACGCGCCTTAATGAATAAGTTAATTCGTGCGGTGCAGGTAACAACTTATAAAGGCAGTGATTGTTGTAATTTACAATTGTTTGAAAAAGGGACTCAGCTTAAGAAAATGTCTTACATGCTCACTGAAAACTCCTCTACTGAGCAGCCTGGCTCATGCATTTGTCAGTGTCCCCAGTTTAACACCTGGGATTCACTGAGGTTCGAGGTCCCTAAGTTCCTTTTCCAACAAGGTAAAGCTAAAAGACAGAAGAATTTCGCACTTTAATCACAGAACCCCCATACTGGGGATAAAGGATCCTGTGCAAAGACCCTATTCCCCCACCCCACCCTGGTCAATGTTGTTCAGTCATACAAGAACAGAAAATATCTAGTTGGACTTTAGCATATTTTGTTTTTTGGGAAAGGGAAGGGGAGGTATTTGTAATTGCCAGTGCTTTGAAGAGCTTTATCTTGAAACTAGACTTAGCAGTGTCCACTTTTCCTGACACTGTTCAAGATTGAAGGTTTTAGCCAAAAAGAAGTTCAGGCATCTAGTGGAATATCCTATGAATGCAGACATGCATGTATTTCCAGTCATCGCTTAACTCCACCATTACAGCTTACTTTTTGGGTGGAGAGAAGCAACGACCAGAAATAGGTCTGCGTTTGCAGACTACCAGAGGATAAACTGTGAGAATGCAGAGGTCCACGCAACGCATAAATGTAACTGACTGGTTCCTCTTGCCGGATCTCTAATTAAAGAGACGCTGTAGCCAGACGTCACTTAAAGTGTAAAATAAAACAAAACTTGATGCAGAGCTGGCACTACGGCAAAGAGCTGATTTATTATGGCCAATATTTTAGCTAACAAAATAATATTAGCCTTCCCCAGGGCCAGAGCTATACCGAGAGAAAATATCTTTTAACGGCTCCTAAAATTTGAATTTAAAATTTACATAAGTGTTTAATAATTAACTACAATTATTAATACTAGAAAGACTAATATAAAGGTAAATGTTACACAATAAAAATAGAAATAGAAACAATTCAATGTTCATTCCCTCGGTTCAGACCGTCAGGTGACAGGGTTTTGCCTCTATCTATGAGGCATGCTTCTCTTGCCTTACGGCGTGATATGCTGAGGGTGGGTTGTTATTCCAGTGGAATAAGTTCCATGGCTACGATCGAGTGGCCAGGTTGATTAAAGTGGGAAGGAGCTGCTGCTGTGATGTTTGCGTGGAGTGGATTTGTTTGTTGCCTGTCTATGTTTTTTAAAGCATTCACGATGTGTGCATTTAGTTTCACCTATATATTGTTTTTTACATCTGTTACATTGGATCATGTATTATGTTAGGTTTGTTGAGTCACAAGTAATGTGATTTTTAATTTGTCTTGTTTCTCCTGTGTTGGTGAAAGTGTATGATGTTTTGCCATGGTTAATGTATGGGCAGGTGAGGCAGCCATGTCTGGAGTTGCAACAGAATGTGCTGGCAGGGGTTTTGGGTGTCCTGTCGTTGATTGCGAGCCTCGCACGAACGAGTAGGTTACAAAGGTTTGGTGAATGGCGGAAAGCGACAACAGGTACTTCTTTAAAGTAATTTTCTAGTTCAGATGAACTAATTTTCTAGTTCAGATGATTGGGTTTCAAAGAAATTATCCGTGGAGCAAATGTGGCGTAAGCAAAGAGCTAGGCTGTTTAATATGATATGGGTGGCTTGAAGAGTGCTGTAAGTATTAATGTTTATCTGTAGGTTTGCAGTAAAGATCAGTTTCTATTCTACCATTGTGGGGTTGAATGTTAACATCTAGGAAAGGGATAAACGTTGTTGAGCATTTACTGGTGTTTGTTGTTGAGGTACTTTATAAACTCGTTCAGTTTATCTTCACCATGTGTCCAAACCATTAAGATGTCGTCAATATACCTCAGCCAAAGATATGGGTTGTCAGGGTAATTTTGTAATGCTTTCCTTTCGAAATCCCCTATGAATAACTTAGCAAATGCTGGAACCATTTGTGTGCCTATAGTTGTACCATGTTGTTGTATAAAATGTTCATTATTGAAGTCAAAATTGTTCATGGTTAAGATCGTGTGGATGAGATCACATATATATGGATTCTGTAGGAACAGATCTGTCAGTCCGTTGGCTAAGAGCTATTCTGCATGTGTCGATTCCTTTGTTAGTTGGAATGTTTGTGTATAGAGAAGAAACGTCAAGGGTGACAAGTATAGCATTGCTGGGGAGGATGACGATTTTTTAAGTACGTTGAGAAGATGGGTCATTTTGGAAAAAATTAACACAAAATTTTTCTTAGCCTAGTTAGACACCCATTGTTCAATGTCTTTTAAAAAATGCCTGGCCTGGGTTGGACTGTATTCAGAAAAATCAACCCATACCACCATCTAATCTAATTCATGATAAAGTCAACTTTGCTCGATACTTTCTTACAACCAGACCGTGAAAAGACCTTTACGTATTCTGGGAAGTATAATAGCTCATCTGCAATGCTGTTAAGGACTTGTTCAGTAACTGGATGTCCTTTTTTTTCCAAGTCTGCTTTAGCACACATTTTAACATGAGATCTCTCCAAAGGTAAAAATGGGATAAAATAATCTATAAGATTTTTCTCAACGAGCGATGAATGCCAGAAACCACCTTTAATGTTGAACTCACCAAGGTAAACAACATTGTCCATCTCTTTAATACCAATGTCTTCTCTCTTCTTTCCCTCTTTCCAGTGTCGGAGGACTGCGTCATTGATCAGATGACCTCCCGTATTGCTCAAAAATATAAAAATACTTCCTCGAAAGTCAACTTTGTCAACGTCAGGGTAGTGGTCTAAGTAGGGCTTTAGTACATCTATGAGACCGATCGGCATTTTATCCATTTCGTCAAAAATGAACAGCGACCTTGAGCACTGTGACACTGAAGTAGAAACCAAACTACGCAGATATCGTTTGTAACGTTCCAATTCCGACTGGTGTGGGAAATCATGTGTGGCAATGATTTGATGGACAAATTTACTCTCCATTCCCTCTTTAAAAATATGCTCAGCAATGATCTTGCTAACAAAGTTTTTCCCTGATCCGGTCCAGCCGTTAAAAGAGAGCGCCAAGGCTTTGTTCGGTGATTTATTATTCAGATGTCCAACTATTGCCTTAATCACTGTCTCGGTGACTAAATGCTGTCCAAACACGCGTCGGCGCAGAGCTGGCTGCAAACCGCTGATGTTCGCCGAGATCCATCTATCTGTGCAACATTCTGTAAAACGACACCGCGCCACATAAGCCAAAGATCCCAACACAGCAGTCCCGGCGGCAGTCCCGGCGACATAAACGGCGTAACCTTCGATGATGAATGTCATTCCAACTGGAGTAAAACACAACAAGATAAATGGCAAAAGCATCCCACTCTTCGCCATATTGAAGCCAAATTGGAGGCGATGTTTCCAATGGATTTTATAACTTAAATTTCTATTGGTTGAGGCAATTTATTCGCCCCTGATTTGACCAATCTAATAAATCCTTAGAAAAGACAGAGTAACGAGTCGTTTCCCACGCGGAATGCGGAAAAACCGGGCGTCCTCGCTTGCGTTCGCTTTTCTAGATAACGTTGCTGCAGTGAAGGTGGAGTTTGGAAATTCATCAGAAGTATATTGATCGATTAAATGGCCTCTAAACGACCTCCTATAAAGAAAATGCCTGCAGAAAACGGTGGGAAAAATGCTCGGGAAGATATCGCTTCGCCCAAAAATATGGCGCCCGACGTAATCGTTCCTTTAATACCATCTTCCGATGGTATTAACCTTGGAGAAAAAACAAAGAAGGAAAATAAAACAGCAGGTGAAGAAAGCTCCCAGGACATTTCATCTGATGGAACGTCATATGGTCCACCGCCACAAGCTCAGAACACAACAAACCCAAAACGTGAGCCCGAACAAGCCAGCGAACGACGTCAAGTACCTAGCTCAAAGGACAAACACCACGTTCCTATCATCCTTTTAATCGTTGCATTTATGTTAATTATCGTGGCTATCATGTTTTGGTCTCCAGAACCTGAAATAGAAACGGATTTTGACTTTCCCAAGATCTTTGCAAATAAGATCGTGGAACTTCAGTCTTCTTTCACTAATCAAACTGACCGGTTCTGGCGGATCTTAAAGAACCGTGGTTTGGCACATCTCAGAAATGCCAGTCCCCCTCAGCCACTAGTATTGTTACTAGCTGCAACCCCAGCTGCTCATAGCACTGTTGAGTGTTTTGCCAGGAAGCTTGCAGAGGCATTAGACCCAAAACACAAGAGAATGTTAGCTACAATTGATGGAAGAGAAGAAAGGAATTACCCTGGTGAGAAGGCTAAGAAGAAGATGGATGATTTACTAATAAGAAGGTTTAACAATGGCCACAGAGCAGCACTTATCCATCACCTTGAGCTCCTTCCGCCTCCATCACCTCTGTTGTTCTACTCATATTGTGATGATCAGAATGCACCAAATAAACATGTTGCGATTATCTTCACCGTACACTTGCCTGTAGAGCCAGATGCATCTTTAGAACCCAAAGAAGCAGAGGGAACAGTTGAGAAGTACCTTGCTGACGAAGTTTGGGGAAAAGAAGATAAGGATGCTATTGCAGCTCTTTTGAGCCGAGTTGCAAACACAGTGGCTCTGATGAATGGTGAATCTAGTAGTTTAGCTACTTGTTAACTTGTTATATATGAGACAAGATTTCATACATTTTACTCATCCAAGTACACTGGCCAGTAGGTGCCGGCAGAATCCAATCTTAACCAGCCATTACAACCTATGCCTTGGTCAATGTAGCAGTTTTTAGACAGACAGTCAGTAGTTATTTTGAGCTTTTCATATTTTTAACTCACCCTAAAAAATTTTGGTAGCTGTATCGTTTTTCTTGGTTTGTCTCTTTTCTGCAAAATACGTTTAGACATTCGTACAATCCACTGAATTATAATTAGCAGACCTATATCTGTCAAATTCAAATAGCCATTACTTGCTGCTGTTAATCTGAAATGGTAGCCAACTGCACCCCATTACTTGTGGGTAGAGCAGGGGGAGAGAGATGGCTTAGGGGGTGGAGACAGCTAACATTTTGGACAAAAAAATTTATATTCTGATCCATCACTGTCTATCCTAGTGTGAGTTGACTGAAACTGAGGTAATACCAGTAAACAAAACTTGAATAACTCTAGATTTTGCACTGAAAAACATTGGATGATATCAACAGAAATACTGTATTCACCATTTTAACCTAGACCATAGTCCACCTTTGTTGCCCCCAAAACTTTGCATAACCATTGTTTTCAGTTTCTCCTGGGTATTACAATCATCCCAAGAGAAATCGAAGACAATGGTTATGCAAAATTTTGGGGAGGGGGGGGGGTGTAAACAAGTTGCATTATGGTCTGTGTGAAAAAGGTGAATTTTCTTTCTTTAGCCTGTGCACCTGAGTGGGTGCATGGGCTAAGTAGGAGATACTGTTGCATCAGCGCGTGTCATGCGGTAGCAAAGTTTTCTTTCTCATGGACTTGAATTTTGTAATCATTTTGTCCATTTCTTTTAAAATTGAGCACCCTAATGAGATGTCATGGGAGTATGTAACATTAGCTCAGACTCTATTTTTGGTCATGAAGTAAATAAAATTCTGGCAGCTGGCATGGAAACGATCTAAGAGAGTAAGAGCGATTGCACAAGAGCTGCTAGAATTAGGGCTGATCTCAGGTTAAGTTGAATCACAATGGAGCTGAGGTTAACCTTGCCTTATCTGATTACCTATTTGATGGATGTATTATTGTTCTCTCACATAATTCTAGATAAACCAAGTTAGTCTCCCACAGTTAATCAGCATTTGACCTCCAGCCAGAGAGTGTTCATACTGATGCATGGCTGAGGTACAGAATAACCACCTTAGCTGCAACTTAACCCTTGGACGTACAAGGGGTGGGATGGATGCCACCCCCTCCTCGCCCAATAAGGTTTTTCTGAGTTTTTTCCTAGAGGATAAAACATTAGTACCTGACGTTTTCAGTAGCTGTTCATTCATCCCTCGCGCACATTTTGAGACAAGTTTAGTGACGGTCAGGTGCTATGGTTACAAGCTATGACATCTTAAGTAGTAGGTGGTCAAGCCAATTTTGGCTGAAAATACATGTTTTTTCAACTTCTTTCAACAACAAAAGTAAATCTTGTGGCTAAAATCATGCAAAGTGCTTATTTATGTGTTATTTTTCATGTAAAGCACAAAAAAATTATCATGTCTCGTAACTTTCTACCTGATTTCTACTTCTTGGTAAAATCCAAGATGGTAGCCAAGATGGCAACCACTGTTGGTGATATCACAGGCCACCTGCAGGGCCACCACCCCTAAAATATACCTCATCTTGTTAAGAAGATCAAAGGCTTTCCACTAAAAGTAAAATCGTTTCAAAATACTGCAACATATCAAAAACTCCAAGGAGGGGTTCCATACCCCCCCCCCCCCCCCCCGTACCACAGTGGGGGTGTGAATTTGCAAGTACGTCTGGGGGTTAATAAATACACAGACCCTGGATGTTTTTACAAGGGTCAGGAGCCCGTAATCCAGAGCGAGCAACTTCCATGCACTTATGTCACGGCATTGTCACAGAAAAAAGTGCCATTTTTACGCGGAAAAAAAGTGCCATCAAATGTGTCTGAAAATGAACTGGTCCATAAAGCGCCATGCCATAGGCCTAGTATGGGAGTTGCTCACTCCAGTTTATGGGGTCTTGTAAGGGTTAGTTTTAGGGAAATGGTAATAACTCTTTGAAAAAATATGTAAGCTCAAACGCCATTTTCACTGAATAACACTGAGCCTGCAAGCAAGCTCTTAATTTTCTTCAACTGTGATCATATTGTCTTGTAAACTTCATTTTTTCTCTGGTTATGTAAATATACCTCGTCTATTAATATGTGCAGGTGTAGCCACTGCTTCCCTCAACTAGCTCTTACTTGCTGCAGGCAGCGCACATTTTCATAAGATTTATATGAAGAATCATTCAACTGAACAAAGTGGAATTAAAAACCAAAGTAGGGGGTATTGAAAAAAGTCACACTTGAGCTGCATACCAAAGGAGACTTGGCTTTGCCCTTTGCTTGACCTCTCTCTCTATCACCACTTGCTTTGCTGAGCGCTCGCAATGGAGAGCTTGCTCACAGAATACTTAAAATACTGAGTTCTGTTTCCAGTGATTTGCTGATTGTTTTCAGGGCTTGAAAACGTCCCTTCCAGTGGCCCAGGACAAGTAGATTTATTTGCTATGTAAGTAACTTTTAAATCTTACTTGCTAAAAGGGAAGGGTACGGGCAAGTCATCCTCTAACAAAATCAGTTCCTTAAATGAGCAAGAAGTGGCCCCAGGCAAGCAAAATGTGACAGCTGCTTGCCCATTGGACACGCTGCAATTCAAGTTTTTTTTTTTTTTCGAGCCCTGCATTTTGCCCACTCGGACTCAGCTTTATAGAAGTTATACAGTTTTTGTATGATAAGCTTGTACCAAGTTCATTTTTAATCTGCTTTCATAAATTTTCAGATCAGATTCTGTAACTGTAAAATACCATTATTGTATGATGGGTGTACCTAAGTTTGGAATCTCTCTGTATTTATTTAAAAGAGCTGAAACGGAATAAATGTCTTCAAAGAAAAAACACTAATAAATTACAGGGTTCGTGTTATAAAATTGATATAGCGGGGCAGTCACAATTAAAGAGTATTTTACGTTGCCTGCGTATTCAGACCACAGGCCACCCAAGCTCACTGTGTGAGTTTAATTATTAACACATGTTAAAATGGCCGTGAATATAAAGAATTTGTATGGGAATTCAGGTAAAAGATTCAAATTGACAAATACTCGCTAGAATGTTCAATAAAATACAGCTTACCCTATTTACTTTGCTTGTTTTTGTTTGCTCTGTGGTTATTTTTCCGATCCATTGCGATTTAAGCGATTTCCTTTAACCCCGAGTTTCCACTGTAAGAGAAAGGACAAGGCTTCACAGTGCAGTTCGGGATGCCCCATGCGAGAGACGAAAAATCCTCAGCTTGAAATGGCCAAGTAGCCACAAATCAAACGCCGAATCCAAGCCAATATGTCCTTGTTTCATTTCATCCCATTAGCCGAGCAATCAAGCCACAGCAACCGACGCCAAGCGGCAGTTTGTTTTCCAAAATCCAAGCCAAAATAAAACGACGCCGAAGAGGCGAGTACATTTTCACCACGACACTCGACCTTTGAAAACCCGCTTGGTAACCCTGCGTCCTCTACAAACTAAGCCTCACGGGGGTACCACCAGTGGTAGTGGTGGTCGAGGGAAAACAATAGACATGTGGTGGTGGTTGTGGTGGTGGTGGAGGGAAAACAATAGAAATGTGGCGGTGGTGGTGGTGGAGAGAAAACAATAGAAATGAGGAGGTGGAGGAGGGGAATAAAAAACATTGAGGAGGGAAAATAATAAAAATTGTGGAGAAGGGAATAAAAACATTGAGGAGGGAAAATAATAAAATTGTGGAGAAGCAGGAGCCCATCAAATGGAGCCTCCATCTCCATTAATTTCTTGAGTCAACCCTTTCCCGAGTAGATTTATAAATAGAACGGCTTGTTTCCCGCGAAAAGTGTCATATTTCCGTGAGTCTCGTATGTCACCGTGAAAAAAAAATCAAGTTGGATGAAGTCGTACTCAGAGGTCCGTCCTTCGACCGTTTTCCTTTTTTACTATACGTCCATTTTTACAGTTTTACAGCCGCTGGGATCTGGGATGAAATAAAAGTTAATGAATTACCCGACTGAGACTGAGCATGAAGCGATGGGACAAAGGCAGCGAACTGAGGATCACGGAAAGGTTCTTTGCGAGTGTTTGTTTTTGTTTTTGTTTTTTTTTTTTGCCGTCATACATCCCTCATTTAAGCATGCACCTTGAAAAGAGTCGACGATTAAGCGTTCTGTCGACGATTTGAAACTTCTCGATGATCAGCGCCGAAAAAGTGCCAGGATCATTTATTTTTGTCATCGCCGTGGAGTGGATTTCGCCAGTTAACAGCAGTTAAGCACCGTGTGCAAAAGCGATGACCTAAGTAGCAACTAAGGAGGAATGCTTCAGAAAAATTGCAGTCTTCCTTTACAACTGACTTGTATCACCATGAGAGTTGCCTGATAAAACTGGCACTTGAAAAGTTGAACAGAAGACAACAGTTGCTCGACCATGAAGCTAACTCAAAAGTAATTTGCTAACGGTGGAATTTGTGACATCGCGCTCCAGTCCAAAGACCCTCTTATCTCAAGAAAAACAAAATGGATTGTATCTGCGCCCAAAGAATTATGACTGACCAACAGGAGAATTCTCAGCAATTAATGTAGAAGTTTAGGCCAATTCTTTCCTTCGAATTCGCATCTGTAGATCACTTTTTTCGTGGCGAGCCGCAAGCCTTAGCGACCGAAATATGGGGGAAAATTTGTCCCCCATCTGACCAGGAAGCCATTGTTTAAATTCAGCGAAGCATAGACCGTTGACAGCTTGAAACCATACTTGAGGTGAAATGCGAATCTCCTTTCGTGACCTCCTACTGAAGCTTTATTCGACATATCTTTCAATGGATCATTTTAGCAGACACTACAGAAATAATAAAGCTGAGCTGATGAGACGAACACAACTAAAGAAAAGAACCTGGTGAAATAA